CAGCTTTACTGAGCAAGCTCCCAAAGTCTGTATTCTCAATTGGCGTGGCAGCTTAACGTGGCACTGCAGATTCCCTTATCGCTGTGGTGCATGTGCACCGAGTAAATCTCGTAATTGAGCTTTTACTTCATGGACCATGTCTACGAGTAAACTTATCTACTAATAGTTAACTAGAAATGGCTACCACCGTTTTTCTCGTTCTTATATCCCTGATGCCAAGTCTATGATTTTCTCTTGTGTGCCGATCAACAAATGTGATGGTAGACGTCTTATCTTGGTTTCCGATTGTTCCTTTCTGGTCTCCTAGTAATTATTTTCCTAAAATTAAAAATATTACTTTTGTCTAGTCTTCTTTTTGCTTATATTGCTGTTCCATGATCTTCTCCAAGTTTAATTAGGCATTATGCAAAGTTTTCGCTAATCATGCCTTCTGCTAGTCCCCAGTTAATTAGGTTTCTTTCATTTAGCATATCGATCTCTTTTCATATCTTACGTTTTCCTGTATTTCCACCAATGTAGCCAGCCTTTCTGTTGATTTCCACTTGATTTTGTCTCTCGTCCGTGCGATGCGCTATTTCGGATATTTCAGTGTCCATATTTTTCAGAGTCTCTGGTGTCCCTTTGTTCGTAGGCTGGTTTATATTCTTGTTTCACCAATATACTTTTGCTCACAGATGCCGCATTTAAAGCAATCAAGCTTGTCAATCTTGTCTTGTTACGTGGAAGACTCGAGAAGAGTGTTTTCTTTTCTTTTGACATTCCATTGTCTTATCAATGGTCGCAATTTCTGACTCAGTTAACATGAGGTCAAGCATATCCGCTTTTTGTCGTGCTCCTGATTTTATTTTTATAAAATGCTAGTTAAAATCTGCTCTTAATGACCTTTTTATTTCTTTCTATACATTCTCTGGGGTACCCGTTACTAAAGCAAATCCGTGTCAGTTTCTCCAACTTATAGTTCCAAAAGTCAGTATCCGTTAGTCTTAAGGTTCTAATGATCATACTCCTTATTATTCCGACCTTCAGTCTGTAATATTGATAAGAGTGCAAATTGAGGATTATTCCTGCATGTGATTTCTTTCTGAATAGTCTCCTCTTGAGTATTCTGTTGGAACGATTGACCTCAACATCCAGGAAGGTTAGTCATTTATCCATCTCCATCTACATTGTGAATTTAGTTCTTAGGGAACAGCAATATAAGCAAAAAGAAGACGACTAGACAAAGATAATATTTTTAATTTTAGAAAAAAAATTACTAGGAGACCAGAAAGGAACAATCGGAAACCAAGATAAGACGTCTACCATCACATTTGTTGATCGGCACACAAGAGAAAATCATAGACTTGGCATTAGGGATATAAGAGCGAGAGAAACGGTGGTGGCCATTTCTCGTTAGCTATTAGTAGATAAGTTTGCTCGTAGATATGGTCCATGAAGTAAAAGCTCAATTACGAGATTTACTCGGTGCACATACACCACAGCGATAAGGGAATCTGCAGCACCACGTTAAGTTGCAACACCAATTGAGAATACAGACTTTGGGAGCTTACTTAGTAAAGCTAGTGTATACGTGCAGTCAAAGGCTTGAGGCAGAGTGAAGAACATAACGCCTTGAGTATCATGGATACGGGGGCAGCGATACCGTGATATCATTGAAACAGGCAGATAAGGGAAGGATCCTACAGGGTAAGAGGGGTCTCCGATAGGACCCGAAGGGAGAGGAATGCTGATTAAATCACAGCCTTGGATCAAGACTCCCAGCACAGGGGGAGGGATGTGGAAACCAGCGGGAAGTGTGAATAGGTTTTAAATAGATTTAGATAGACAAGTAAGAAATTGCGATATTGAAAGGGTGATACGAGGGTATAGGTTAGGTGAATAGCCTAGGACAGGAGAGATGTCACAACATTTTGGCACACAATTGGTCAGAGGATCGACTTCACTTGTTCTTTGACGAGTTGTGGTGTACCACGTCTACGGTCCGGCTATGGAAGTTTTTATGCACACTATTGACTCCGATCAATGCGCGTCCCTCTAGGCCTTCTTACCGATATGACCAGGTTGCGAAAACCTGTTCAGACCTCGTCCATAAAACAAAAAGTGGCTGCGACCATACTAAAGGCCACATATCCTGGTATTCATATCTTCGATGAAAATGGATAGTTTTATATTTTTAGTTGAGTTTTTCCTGTGCCACTAGCCTCCGATTTCTCTGCGCATCCAGACCTGAGATAAAAATAGATGTTCTTTGTTATTATAGGTAAACTTTCCCTGTTAATCACTTTGAAGCTGATTCAACTTTCTTTAAAATATACCTACCATTTGAATCGCAAATTACTTGTACCTATAACATAGCACTCCATAATACGATAAATTAATAGTCTTTTGTGCAGTGCTTCATGTTGTGTCGTTGATAATAGTTCTTACATAATAGAAAATGCCTATTTCTGCAGATGCATTATCACAACCTGGTTATGCCAAAATACATCAATGTACATACGCATAATTTATCGCTATTTGGAGGAATGAGAAGGATGAGACATTATATTGTAATACAAATCTGAATATATAGGAAACTATTTTTTATATGAATTTATAGAGCGATTGAAAGATCCGTAATTTTGTTTGAAATTTCCTTGATTAATTAGGGGATTTTAGTCATTTTAGTGTAATTTCTGAAATACTACCATGTTGGACTTGATGAGTAATCTAAGTTCAGGATTTAAGGAATGGGCCAATTGTAAATTACTAGTTTTAGTATGGTTTCAAATTGAAATGGAAGCATTCAAGAATTACTATGCCTGCTATTCCTTCTATACGTAAATTTATGGACGTTATTTAAGCAAATATATTAAAATATTTCATCCCTCTAACTTAAGTTATATATTTAACTTCTTCCTTACTGTACATCTATCTCAACGCTTCCTATCATTCTATCTCCTCCCCCAAGCCAAACCTGCCGTTCACTTTATGCTCAGACGACAACGTCGACCCCGTCTTCAGGATCAAAATGAAGTCCTTTATTATAAGCCATCCAGTGGTGCTGGCTATGCGGATTATGAGAGTAGTGAAACTGACTCATCTCAATTGCTGCCTTTTCGTCATCATTATCATCCTCATCCCGCTACTACAGAAGTACCGAGTGTATCTGGCCGGGCTTTGGCATATCAGCATCATAATACTGCAATTCCAGCAGGCGAGTACGCTCCACAGCGACACTATCCGAAGCGACGTACCATACGAGAGCCTGTCAGCTTAAGCACCGGCACAGTTCCCTGCGTTACGGGAGGAATGGAGGAGAGCTCAGCTCCCACAGATAGTGCCACTTCCGCTTCTCACCTTCCTGTTATTGGATGTATTCGTCGTCGTCCAAAAATGCCGGCCTCAAATAGTCGAAGAGGTCTTGGTTTGTTATTGCCTAATCCCTCTTCACTACCGCCAGGATATCAGGATATTTACGGGTTCAGTTATTCTTCGCAGGAAGATGAAGTAACCTGCGGTGAGGACACAGTAGAAGAAGGAGAAGCCTTGGGAGGTGTAGAATTGAAAGCAGGAGAAGGCAACCCACAAGAAGTCGAGGATGTAAAAGAGCCTGAAATCAAGCCTTTTCGGAGAAGTCTTGGGCTTATAATGTGGCCTAAGGTAGTTTCCGGAGTTTCTCTAGGAGATACACCTGTTAGTAACTCCGAGAACAAAAGTGAGGTGGCTACTGGCCCCGGCAGAGTTCTACAATTCAGATATGACAATGGAGCCAATGATGCTGATATTGAGGATGAGGGTTGCAGCTTGGTGAGTGGGTGATGGATAGCTTCTTAAGAGAACCAAGAAATATGGATGCACAGAATTGTATTAACAGTATAAAAGCACCAAATTAGAAGTCTTCCTGGGAGTAAAAGTGTATAGTTTCCTTATCTTATGCACAGACGCACTGATGAATGATCTACTCTATACGCACCAATTTTCCTGTTTCAGCCGTGCCATTATTAATTCACTTGCAATCAGTTTCTATTCACCTATACCTTCTTAAGTGCACTCAAGCTATTGTTTTTGCCAAGCTCTCACTCCACTTAACTCACTTTGAATCTATTTTGCGTCTTTGACCAGATAGGGATCTTAATCGCATTTTTTAAAAATCACATCCGCTTTTCTTCTTCAGGTCTAGCTCTGCACTAAACACTTTAGGAAATTGCATTTACTATTTGTTGTCTTTGCACAAAACGTGTTAACATAATCACCTTGCCCTTCACTCCCTACAGTGATACGTTCCTCAGCCTATTTTCCTTTTTTTTCATTCTCAGCCAACCAAATAGTATTCCTCACCAATGCATTTACCATCCTTGCGCGTCTCCGATTATCATTGTGTTGTGGTTTCATTTACTATTGCGTTTTTCTTTCATACTGCGCAAATTTTAAGATTGCAAGCTAGTGACTGTTGTAACTCGTCCAATCTAGAGGCTCCCACAATATTTATTATGCCAGAAGTCTAAAGATGTATTCTTAACCGAATACTTTTATGCATTAATATAAACAATAAAATACAAAAAATGAAGCTAATGGGCTGGCTACCTATCAATTATTTAGCATCATCATCCCTTTTCGTCATATTACCCTCTCCTTATAAATGAATTATTATACTCAATCCTTTTTGAAATTGGCTGCACTTGAACAGATCAGGCTGAAAAGACTACCAAATAACTAACATTGTTTTTTCCAATTAAATGCTATTTCAGCTGGACGCCTTCAAAATAGGCTTCTCCTAATAGATAGATTTTATTAATACTTACTTGGTAAAGTTTCCCCTACCTCAATTGTCAAGTTAGAATTTGTCTAACGATAGTGCATAGACATACATTTTGGCCCTCTCACTGTATTTACTTCCCAAGCTCTCGATTTAATTCATCC